TTGAAGGATTGGGTCTGTGGTTGTGTATTGCACTGTGTATAGCCCAGCTGAGCTTTGTATGAAATTAACCCATTTTGAATGGGTGCATGTTTTAACCAACTTCTTTTTTGTTTGTTTGTTCTTTTCTTTTTTTTTTAATTATACCTTCCCAGTCTCCCCTGCCCACGGAGCCCGTCCAGCGTCCTGGAGCTACTTCCCCCCTTGTACGTTTTCATTTATTCCTTTTTTTCTTCTTTCACCCTTTTTCTCCCTGTCTCTGTGTGGGTGTCTCTTCTTTTTTTCCCTTCTTCTGTACATAGAAGTCAGTAGCACTGGTGTTTTGAAGGATATTCAGGGAAACCAAACCAAACCTTTAGTCTAATTTGCCTTTTTAAATACTTTTGGACATAAAACAATGCAGCAGGGAAACTGGGTGATTCAACTCTTTTCTGTTGGAGACGATAGGATCACTTTGAATCAATAAAATCATAACTGGAAGAAATGAAGTCCCAAGCAACCAAATACGAATGTCAGTTTGAAAGAAAGAGAAGTTAAAAATGGGTGATGGAGAGGAATTGAACGACTCTGAAAGTTTGTTAGAACTTGAAAATCTTCAGAAGCAAAAATTCCTTGTTTTAAAGATCAGAAAATGCTGTTTGTGCTCAGCATCTCCCAATGCCCAAAGTGAACTGTGGAGTTATGTGGCAGTGGCTTTCTTATCCAGAGAGTCCTGCTTCGTGTTGCCATGGTCTTTGTTAGATCTCACTAGTGCTGATCCAAAACTCATAGCAATAACCTAGCACAGGTAAAATTAGTGACTGTTTCCAAATATAACATTTTTTTACTGTAAAGGTCTCATTTACACATATTGACTCCCCCTGGGATGTTGTTTGGATTTCATAAATCAGTCTTAAAACTGGATGTGCATATACTGTAGATAGATATATATAATTTGTGTGTATATATACATGTATATATGTGCTTTCCCCATGCACATACGTGCTTCCAGCCTGTTGGCATGGAGACTGTGCACTGACACCCTTGCAATGTGGGAGACAGGATTGTGGTTCCTGTTCATGCTGCTCCCTCCAGGAGAAGAACGTTATTTGACAGCAGACTTCTTGTTTCTGGTGTGAAGACTCAACTTTCTGAGCACCTCCCTGAGCGTTTGCCAGAGTTATCAAATGCTCCTCGGACAGAAAGGTAGAGACTTCAGCAAGGCAGAGAAGAACAGGGTTTGTATTTCAGATATGATCACACAGAGTGCGTGTGGTGAGGCTTCTTCCACTGCACATACCCAAACCAGCAACAAAAGCCAGGGAATATTTAAACTAGGGTCGAGTTTTTAAGGAGGAGGGCAAAATTTGTTGCTATGACTGGCTTATCCACTGATAAATAAGTAACCTGCCAAAAAGTTTGGGATGAGTCAGAATAGTGAATGCATGTAAGATCCGAGGAGTTTCCTTTGGACATACACTTATGGAGAAAAGATTTTTCTTATTTTTTTCTCCTTAATAGTCAAGTTCCTTGAATCCACGAGGCCTTCAAAGAGCCATTCCTGCTAAGGTTCAGTAGCAGTTAACTTCAGGTAATAAAGGCAGGGTTGGGCTTCTTGCCCTTTTTAACATGAAGATAAAGAACCACCAGATTTCTGATTACTTAATGAGTAACTTAGAGTCATCCTCCTTTTGGAGCTGTTTGTGAGGAGGAAGAGTTCAACACTGGAGCAGCTATAATATTTCTGCTCAAAGGTATAAGGCTTATTAGTGGTTCTGCCTGTTTTTCATATGAAATTAATTTCTTTTGACAGTCGTGTCTCTCTGTGAGTCATGCAATTGCAACAGAGAGTAGAAACTTGGCTATCACTGAGCACTGGGAGATCGTGTGCCACATCCCTCACGTGCCCGAGCACTCCTCTGTGGTCTGCACTGGTGCTTCTTGTTCATGACAGTGCTGTGTACCAAAGATCACGGTCACATTTCTTCTGCTACCAGTGAGTTAGGAAGATGCTTGATGTGTTTTTTAAGTGGGGAAGCTTTGAGGTCCTGTTCAGACTTTGTTGGTGTTAGGGGGAAGTTATTTTCTGGGCTCCTGAAGCAGTTTTTGGACACTGAAGTTCTTTTTTGGCTCTGTTTCCCCAGACAAAGCGAGCTGAGATCTGAATAGGGAGGCAAAGGCTGAAATATGGTTTCAAAAGTGGGACAGAGTGCCTCTGAAAACGAGCTCTAAAGCTTCAGTCTCCCCACCATACCAAAAACCATTATTGTGCAAGTTGCAGCTATGTTTCAAATCACTGGTTCTTCCCCTAGCGTTTGCCAACCTAAATTGAGATCTGTTTTATATAGGTTTTTTAACTCTTTTTACACTGAAAACTCTGCTTACGATGGCGTGTGTTTGCACTGGAACTGAGAATTAGACTGCATACACTGTGGTCACACCTGAGCCAGCTTTAAGCCCAGTTGTTCAGGTACCAGCAGTATCCACCTTCATCCTCAGCAGCTCAAGTTTTCTTGGGATTTGGGTGTTTACTCAGCTTATTTCATCTCACCTCATCTTTTTTTTTGCTATTCACCCTGTAAGCTTGGCATAGCACTTCACTTAGACTTCTTTTTGCACGTAAACATTGCTCATTAAGAATACTTCAGATCTAGAACACGCCAGAGAAGCAACACCTTAGAATGCGTAACACTGAAATCTCGAATTTTTTCTCTAATTGCTGTCTCTACACATTAAATTATTCGTCTCCTGCAGTTTGTTCCAGGAGGTATTTTAACTTTGTCCTTTCTCTTGCCTTCTGTCTGTCCCTCTGCCCTCTTCCCACCTGACCTTAACGATGTGCAGATTTGGAGATGGATAGTGTAAAGCCAGGCTCTGCATGTGTTACAGAGGCTCTGAACCAGTCCCAGCTGAGCTCAGGTAGAGCCCGTTACGTACAATTAGTCTCTCAGTGTCCTAACCCAGTCTAACCCTGTATGTGATAGCAATAACCACTTACTAACACCCTAGGTATGGTTACAGAAGCTAGATGTAGTTGAAATAGTTTATTATTCCTTTTTTTTGTTGTTGTTGTTTTAATATCTGATGGCTGGAAAAGCTAATGCCTGATTCTAAGAATCTTCCCACAGATTTCCTGCAAGTGATTTCATTCAAGTCCAAATCTTGAGAGTAGTGCTTGACAAGCCTGGCTCTCGTGGTGTGGATGCTCCACAGTGTCAGTAGCTACGTGGCCAGAAGTCTGTGTATCATAAATTAGCTGCTTTTTTTTTTCTTCTTTCCCCCCTCGACTGCTGAATTTCTAAATATAAAGTGTTCTTCTTTTCCCAGGCTTTCAATTTGTGCCTCCGAAAGTTATATCCAAAGAGTGTGCCAAACCCTATTTGACCATGTTCTGGAGGAAAGAACTTGCTTGAATAAGAAAGAAAAGAAATGTGGTTAAATACTATAGTTATATGGCAACGTAAATGACCCTAATGTATACCCAGTTGCACAGAGGTAGCAGAAAACAACTGTGTTGTGTTGTCATCGTCATGACAACGTCGCTATAGCTTTTCAAAACTAACATTAAGCAAAATTAAAGTGTTCCAGTGGAACGACGGAACTGAGATATGTCTCTGGTACTTTTTATGTACTTAAACAATTCAATTGTCAGTTATTGAGAGGTGTTTGATAACAGGCATTTCAATTTTTTTTCTTTCATTAAATCATATCTGGACTTTTGTTTTCCTGGATCTCCTAAGTGCTTTGAAAGAAAATCAAAGTGGAATTTCAGGAGAGACTGAGGAGCAAACTGTGTAAGTTTTGTTTTCCAGCAGGCTACATTAGGGCTTTTACAGTAAGGCAGGCAGCATGTCATGTTTCTTGTGAAGTGTTCAGACAACATGTTGTCATCTTATGTTCCTCTGTGTCATCTAGTCCCTTTGTATCGAGGTTGAAATTAATTTGCAGGGTAACTCTACCTTTCCCAGAGATCATCCCAATCCATTCTTTGGGTAAAATGAATAGGTTCATGGATATTTGATATCAAAGTGGTGCTAATAAATACAGCCAGTCAGAGCTCACTTGAGTCCTGCTGCCCACAACACTGGAATTACGTTTCAGTTTATTCAGGAGGCTGATGTTTGTGCAATTCAGTGATTTTAAGCACTTGGTAAGTGGCAGGCATCTTTTCTACTTGTATTTCGACTGATTGCAAATCTCCTTGGGGTTGCCTATGTGTAAAGCTCTGCCTTTGCTGAAATCCTTGTCTGTATTTCCATTGTTGCCTTCTAAAGTCACCAATGACAGATTTATTTTATAACTAGGCTTTAAGACTTTATTTTACTGCTGTAGTAAGTGTTGGATGCTTCCCTTGGGAAAAAAAAAAAAAATTTAGCAGTGTTATTTTGCTGGTAGTTTGCATCTTGGATACGTTAGGAATGCCAAACTTAGTCTTCCATAATGATGTTGCATTGCTTGCTTTCAGTGCAGTGAATTCTGATAAAGTGCTTGTTTCATCTGAATTGCTCCAGTAATTACCTGGTTTTAGGAGAAAGGGATTTATTGCTGTGACCGCCCAGGACTTTTTAGGTCTTTAAATTCCTGCACAGAATTGAAATACAAATCAGAACTGCAGCAGTGTTTTCCTGTTAGTTTTTCATTTCCTTGGAGTCTTCCTTTCTCTTTGCTCTCCCTCCCTTGTTTCAAGTGATTCTTCCCCCTTCTTTTTTCCCTTCCTGTTTTTTGGCAGAAATAGAAAGGGACAAGAACTGTGGGCTGATCTGTGGAAATGCTGCTATATACAGGATTCATCTGGCCTCCTATGAAAGTCACACCACAAAATCTGTGATTCTGCTGGAAAGTATGAGTTGGAGAGAACAGCTCCCTGGTGCCTGCGTGCTAGGGATAGATACTGACTCTAAATTATAGATTCTGTGTTTATTGGGCAAGTATGCCTGGGTATGGATGATGAGCATCCCGACAGCAGCAACGTATGTCCTGCCCTGGGTACTAAAGACTCTTCAAGCCTTCTGGGGCAGTGAACTCAGCTAAAGTCAAATTTTGCTTCATCAAGCCATGGGAGGGAGTCAGTATATTTTATTCTTCCTTCTTAATCCTTTTATCCTTAACAGTGCAGATGTTTTCTGACAGTAGTAGCAAGAACCAAGCATGCATTTTGGCAGTATTTTTTGATTCACCCGTGGTTGTGTTTCTTACCCAAAGACTCTGTGGAGTTCTAGGTGATGTCTGTAGTCGGTGAAGGATTTGCAATCTGAACCAACAGATGTTTTTGTAACGTTTCCTAGGTGCTATGGAAACACATCTTGATGGTTGTCAGGTATTTGAGAGTAAATTGGTTGATGTTTTCTTCAAGAGGCCTGGATTTGAAAGCATGTAGAAGAGAAGGGATTTGGGTATTACCGCTGTGTCCGAAGGGTCCAAGGGAGGCAGGGGCAGAGGATGTTTGATGGGGCAGGAGACTCCATAGTTTGGGGAAAAACCTGGAGAGAAGTCTGGACTAAACCAGAAGGGTATCTGAAGGCTCCAGGGATGAAGGAGAAGTCTTGCTGTCTCATTTATATCTTTTTTTTCTTTTCTAGCTGAAACTAGAAATGGAACTAGACAGTTTTCTAATCTGTGGCAAGACCTGCTTGTCCAAGCCCTCCCAGCCCCCAAGAAGGGCAGCCTTTGTGATTTCAGTGTCATGTGTGCAAAGCACCTAGTTTGCAGGATAAGTTATTTCACATGAGCTTTGCCTCCTTCCCTGCATAATCATTCGCACAAGTGCAAACCCAGCGAAAAAGGTGATTGCTCTGGTGACCTTTTGGCTTCTTTGTCCAGTATCAGTAGCAGCACAGGTGCAGGGCACCAGTGAATGAGGTCTCTGTCTCCAGCCTCAGGCCAGATTTGCACTAATGTTTTTCCTGGCGTAGCTAAATCATGCTGGAAGTACGAAAAAGGTTGCACCCAGACCTGCCACAGCTTATCTGAAAAAAAAAAAAAAAAAACAAACAAAAAACAACCAGAAAACAACAAAACCACCCTAGACACCCCACTGGGGTGTAGGCACAGCTGTCCTGGCAGAAGAGCCCTTTTGTCAGCTCAGGTTATGTCAAGGGAGTAGCGGAGCTCTGCACCAGTTGAGAAACATCTTCTACCAGCATCTCCACACTGGTGTAATTCCGGCGTTGGGAATCAGCCTCCAGTCTCCTGAAGTCACAGGGAAATGCCTGAAACCCAGGTAGAAGGAAGAGACGGATTAATTTCTGTATTCCCTGGAGTGGAATTTCTTCCGTGTGTGTGGTCGCTCACCGCCTCCGCGGCTTTCTGAAGAAGTTGAACCCTTAGCTTCAGGCTTCCCAAATTTTGACAGGTAATTTTGTGGCGAGTCTTGGCCATGTTTCCTGGGCAGTTTTAATTGGAAAAGAAAAACGAACAAGCGTGGTGTATGGATCTGGGCACATCAGTTGAGAAATAATTACGCAGATCTGCGTTCCGTGTAGGTAAGAAAGAGATGTCGTAGTGTTTCTGACATGGAAACGTTTGGGGCTGACATAGCTTAACCTTTTTTTGGGAGGTTGAACCTGCTGAAATGGGATGACTAGTTGTGAAGCAAAGCAGTAGAACGTGGCTGGGTGCAGGGATGCTGGAGGGACCGAGGTGGGATTAATAAGGCCAGCTTTCTTTTCACATGTTCTGTGCTGCTTTCTCACTCTGCCTGCTCTCCACTTATCCACGTTGAGGGTTTTTGTTATTTTTAAACTAGAGATTTTTTTTTCTTTTCTCACAAGCTCTGTCAAAATGGGACTTAACTCTAATAATAGCTGGCTCGAGCAAAACTCTGCAGTTATGCTAAGAGCTTTGAAATCATGGGAAAAGGTAGATTCTTCTGCTCTGCTTTTCCTCTGCTTCTCTCCTAAATAACTCTGTAAATTATTATAGGAGCCAAGTTGTGGCTCAGAAATATTTTCAGGCAGCTTTAACCTTAGATGATAGCACATAGCTTTGATCTCTTCTTGCACTGGCATATGGATTTATCAAGGGTCATGCTGGTGCATGTCTCAAATCTCCAATTAAAACCTGGTCTTGTTAAGTTCACCTAGTCTGAGCAGCTGCACCATCACCTCTCCGTGTGCAAAGCAGTGGTGCTCTCTCTCTGGTGCCCCTAGGGATCAGTGATCTTGCTACATCTGCAACAAAGTGCCTGTGTAAAACTATAAATTAATGGTAAAAGTGAGTGGAGCTGGAGAATCAGACTGGCAGATCCATACTGTTTGTTTGGCTTTCTCAGAAGGTCCTGGTTTGGGCACAGCTATGGTGTGTGTTCAGGAGAATCCTGAAGTGAACACATAGAGAATCATAGAATGGTTTGGGTTGGAAGGGACCTCAAAGATGATCCAGTTCCAACCCCCCTGCCATGGGCAGGGGCACCCT